GAGGATGCTAGAGCCCTCGATCATTCTACGTGGTGTTGTCACAGCGCAGGGACTCAACGTTTATTTAGTTTCTTTTTTCATAAGAGCCCTATAATGCATTTCGCTTAGGTCTTGTATAATTGTGAGTATGTTTAGTAAACATTAAGTTGCATATAATTTTTCAGCTTCCCGGCGTCCTCGTGCTCGTTTTATTACCCTTAAAATGCAACGAGTTCGACAGTCGCCTAAACTGTTTTCACGATCTCGGTAAGCCCACTTCAGTGGTTATTGGTAACTTCCGTGAATTGAGTTTCTTGTCACCTGACTAATTCCTTCACGAATAAGGCAGTCATCTTAGTTTTCACGACAGTTCCAACAGATAACAAAACATAGTTGCGATGAATGATAAGCAAGTGTTTGTAACTTCAAACTATTATATTAGTGCGATGTGTTACATCATTTGCATATTTTCATCTATTTAAAGTGTTTAACCCTGAACAGTATTACCTAAACTTAAGTGCTTCGCTAAACACAGCTAGTGACCTGGAAGAAAGTCACGGCGCCAGCACATGACACGATTATTCGTGACACTATCTTAACTTTTCCGTCCATCTGTAAAATATGTACGATAATATGCATGTGAGCGGCTGCCAGCTGAAAGAGATAAAAAATTTTAGGGAGCTTCTTACATCCTTTCAATAGAGTCGGCATAAAACTGAGCAATACAGCAATTCAAAATAAACACAGCAAAAAAAGATATAGTTTCCTCAAGCTCAAAATTACCCGTTTTCGTAACACTCTGCTGGTTGATATCCCTTGAGAAAACAGCGGAGTTCTGTATTAAACGGTCCACCATGAGAACGAAACAAATTTACAAATTACATGCAATCAGAAATATTTTCATTGTATATGATTGTAAAAATCTACGGACTGGAAAAGAAATGTTTCCCATTTTTTATTGAATGCATCATTGCCAATTCCAATTACAGCATAATCGGTCTATGGGGTCATGACATTATCCCGCAGCCGCCATGCAAAGAAAACAACAAAAAAACAGTGGGGAGAACTTTCAAAGGTGCGACGGTCTTGAAGTGATTATGGGGTTCCTACGTGATACATCCGAGTTCTGCCCAACAGCTATGCAGAGGCTAACGATGCGTGCCAGCGTATACGTAAGTGTGTGCATATGTGTGTGTGCATGTGTGTGTGTTTACGTGTCTGTACACTTCTTTGAAGGCGTACAGACACATGGAAACACACGCCCATGCCTGATCGTGCGTAAAATTTATTTGGAACACGGTGCCTTTGGAAGGTGTATTTAGGTAGAAGAAAAAGTTATTAAATACGCGAGCTAGTTAGCGTTGATTCTATACCGAAGACGAACGGACGACAAGGGGATAAACACGAACGTCTCGAATACCGTAATTCCGGTGTGAGGCGTGTGTTTGCCCCCTTGTTCTTTCGGATCCGGTTACCAAATCATGCGTAATTAGGCACATTACGTATTTAGATGTCAAGAAAATATAACTAAACCCATTGACTGTGAACGATAGCACAAATTAATAGGTACTTCCTAACGTATGTAAAACAGTTATTTTATTAAGTGCTGAATGATCCAATAAAAATTAAAAATAAACAAACAGAAATATAGAAATGTAGACTGCTGAAACTTTAAGTCTTTAGTTTAAAACATTATTTATTTTCGAAGACATAATACACAAAAACAGGAATGGTCAACGTTAATGTCAAACGACTCGTTCCCTGTATCGCCCTGACTTCTTTTTCGTGATCAACCTCGCAAGGGTGAAATGAAACCAGAGGGACCTTGCTGTCAAGATAAAGATTTACAGTGAGAAAAGACGTCAGTGAGAGACTTCTATTGGTGGATCGGAGACTAATAGGAAAACCATTTTGAAACGCAGTTCCGCGCTGCCCTTGGGATTTTTATCATCCCAAGTACGTGCGGTCGATAGAGCTTACGAAAATAATAACTTTTGTGCACGCGTGCCCCAACGCAGTATTTAATATTGAGTAACATTTTTGTTTATCTCCCGACATTTCTATTTACATTAAATTGTTCACCACTTTCCCGCATTATACTCGCATTGGTTAACATGTGGCTTCGTTCCGTTAATTCGGATGAAGGAAAAAGTTTACTCACGAAATAATAAAAACGCATATAAATGTAATATTTTACCGAGTAACACGCTTTTCAGTGCCTATACTGGTTTCATACGCTATACTAGAAAGAAGTAGTGAAAAATGAAAAAGAGAGAAACACATTTATAACTTTCACTCGGGAACGAACTGCAAGGGTCGTTCAAGGAAAAATGGGTCTTTTTTTTCCTACTGAGGAAATTTAAAGTATGACTACAACGAAAATTGTGAGCGATTGAAGTATTCCTAATCCGCGTTCAAACACCGTTGCGTCATTGCTTTCAAACAATACCTAAATCCTGAGAAAAAAAAAACACGGGGCCACGCACGTAATTTTTGTTAGACAATCGCTACCGTGTGGTTCACTGGTCACCGGCTGTCGTCCATATCCGACTGCTGACATCATTCGCGCACTCATGTGCGTGACATAATTTATTTCGCATACCCCATTTGCATTTTTTTTTCGAAATTTTGTCGAGTTTACCTTTCTCTTTCACCAGATATTTGATTGTGCACCTTCGCTCAACATCTACGTAACGTTGCTCGCCGCAATGAGAGCTGGAACTACTGCGCATGCATCAAAACACTCCATTCTGAGCTCGGGATATATATAAAGATTTAGGTTAATGTCCTCCACAAGTTTCATTACGCTAGACTTGGTGGGAAATTTTGCATGGTCGAAGGTATCGGTCAAACTTGAACGGCCCTTGCATTTTCACTTAACGGTAAAATTTGCTCAGTTCCTGGACACCGCAGCATTAACGTACCTCCTCCCTTCCTCCATGGTCAGAAGACTCTCACAGTTAGCCGTAAGGATGGCGTGCGCAATGAGGACTACAATGGTATTTTTGACGTTTTACTCTTCAGGACTGCTACGGGCTGGACTTAAGGACTCGAGTTTAGTCCACGTTTCCCTTGCACATTTTTGGCACAAATTAATTTTTAAGAACCCAGTGATACAGTAGACTGTTCATAAAAGGCTCGACGTAAGATTTCTCGTTGGTACTGAAGTCATTGAAAGGTGATGACGGGAACCTCCCGAGCTCTAAAGTACCACGTCGCTAAAATAAAACTTGCGCGATTGAAGTAAAATTGAGAACAAAATACACCACGATCCAAGGGGGTATTATTGTATAATGTCCTGTTTTGACGTCTGTCGTTTTCTTTTTGTTTCTTTTTTCTGGGACGGGACGAAGGCTTCTACTACCTTGAAACGCTGCATGAACCGCTACATGTTGTTGTTTTTTTTCGTTTTTTTTTTTTTTTACGTTATGTGAGAACTGTTTTTTTTTTACATTATGTGAAACCTGATTTTATGAAGCCATAGTGGGTTTTACGCAGTGTATCCACAAATACGTATCCTTATTATCTTTATGCATTCTCTTCGTAATGAGGTTTTGTTATTACCAGTTCCAGTGGCTTGACATCTAGGTGGGGTACGTGAAAGTCACTTTAAAAGCCTCAGATACGAACCCAATAACCCAGTGCCTCTTCCTGCTCTAACATCGCGCTAAATAGAACTAATAAATGCAAAAGGTAGAAAGGTTAAGAAACGTAAATTTAAAAGCCACAAAACATAAAATCTATGTGTGAAAAAGTACACGTTTTCGATGCAGACAATATTCCCATGTTGAGCGTCCAATATCTGCGGCGTTCTGCCCTTTATATCGTTCAGTTCACTATTACTTGGCCTCAGGTTAGGAAGAAATCTTAAATGCGGCAGCACGTACGCGCCAAATTATCATTAGTGACCGATTACGCTTGGGCGACCGAAATAAACACCTAGTCTTAACTACGCGAACCGATGACAAATTAATAAAAAAAAGTCTAAACTTATCATACCAAACTAAATCGCTCTCACCTCGTTAGCAATGAATACGTCAACGGGAGCACCTGTTTTGTTGGAGAAAATACTAGATTTAGTAGGAAATGTACTCACAAACACCAGCATAGATAGATAAAGGGAAAACCTTTTCCGGGTAATTAACATCCGTAAACAACGTGATCCAGAAAGCCCGCCAAATGTTATGCCATTTAATGAAGCGTCGTTCACTCTTCCCAGACGCTAGTGGAATTGATGTCATGCGCTCGCTCGAGTGATCAATCGTCTCCGCTCCAGCATAGAGTTGACCTCACTCTCCACTCACACATACAAGCACGCGATGCAAGACCGATTGTGCATTGACGCCCAGCAAGTAACGCTCGATTGGACGGTCAGCCGGGTTGAACGAGGGGTAGAGTTGCTTGCCGAAGGCAGGTGAGCGACAACGCGCCACCCAAAACAAAGCGGATAAACTCGGAATCGAGGGATTATTTGGCGGGTTTTAAAAGAAGTTACGAAAGCTTCTCTACGCCGTCCGTCAACGCTTGCGGTTGATGATCCCGTTATACATGTTACTCTCAGGCATGAAGGCTAAAGCCGTAACCCCACAACTAATCCATCATACAGGAAACAGCTCGCAGTTACTCTCTGAGACATGTTTATTTTTCGGATGGCGGTCTTAGCTTTTACATTGGTTATTCAAACACTACCTGCACGCATGCGCAAAATATGCATGTGTATAAAGCCAACATGTTTCGAGCATACTTAAGGCATGTCCGCAGAAAATGACGTCATCATGTCTACAAAGAAACACTGTTATTTCTATGATGTACGAGAAGTGTGACAAAGGCTTTAGAGAAACTCAAACTTGAAATTGGGTAGTAAACTGGGCGAGTTAGTAGTACGATACACATAATGTGAAGAACAGCGCAGAAGTACAAACACACACAATAAAAAGTGCACTAAGACCCACACACCCACTTGAACTTGTCTATTGTTGGCTCTCCATGGACTCCCGCGATATCACAGACGCTGCACTTACCGGTCTCCTGCACGGCACCACATCCTCGCAGCAGCGTCTCGCAGAAAGCAACCAGGGCGCTCACCAGAGAGCAGAAGAAATGCACCACGTGGTGCCTCAACGTCCCGAGTTCCATGACCCCGTAGACGCGTGGCCACACAACACTCCGCAACAAGTTGTCGAGCGTCAAGTCGCCTCCACAGCTCCGCGAAACGAAGAGCAACCTCTCTGTAGTATGGTTGACGGCACTACTGGAGAGAGAGAGAAGTAGCTGGAGGACGTTAGCAACTCCCCAAGCACGGGCGTCGCTGCGACGTGCTCGACTACGTAGTCCACGGGACGAGGCCGGGATGGACCGGCCCGCTATGCCGGCCTGGAGGTCGCGTGACGAGGGGGCGGTGGCTGCCCGCCCGTGCCGATCTCGCTCCGCAGAACGGGATAGCGGACACGCTCTTGAAACAAACGTCGGCTTTTTCCTCCTTTCGCTTTCGCGCGAGCGTGCTCTGCAGGAGGAACGGGGAGGGAGGGGGGCGGGGGGGGGGGGGGGGGGGGGTGAGAGGCGCCGTGCTCATCGGGAGAGGTAATGGAGATAGCCAGAAAGCGCGGGCTTATCGGTTTGAACCGAAATGTCCCGTTGCGAGCATCCGGCACTGTGTACAATAGAAACAAAAATTAAGAGGGTCCTTCAATCTTCCGCCCAGGCGTCACAAATGCAGAATGCATTGGCGACATATACGCGTGGGCAGCGAGACAACGTGACATCCCGCGAAGTCACGCTGTCACGTAACGCTATTGACGAAAATAAACCCTGGAGAAGGGGAACACGGGGGGACAAAGAACACACACAAATCTCCAAAGACAGGTACATGACTGGTGCGCGACCGAAGAAATACGCCTGGTCTTTCGCCATTCTTGTCCAGCTCGCTTGAACATTTGCAATTAATTGCTGTATCAACGTGACGTTAGTATGTCAAGTGTGGTGACACTCGAAAAGTATGGTGTTACTCGAAGAGCATTAGGAAGTTGTTCACACGCTTCGATTATTCTACTTGGTGTTAGTACCCACATACCGACTCAATAATCTTTGTGCAGCTTAAAAAGAAACCCAGCAAAGGCTTTAAAATTTCGCCGCGAAATCGGTTTTCAGTTTTATTGCAATAAAAAGTTGGCTCGAAATGTTTTTTTCTAAGTATTTTAAATAGTACATTTGTTTGCACAATATAAATTAAAATATAAACTTGGGAGCGTGTTGGCTATTGACAAAAACTACAGAAAGAATAACACACTTAAGACAAAGGGACGACGGACACTTCTTCCTTCAACTCGCAACAAAAAAGATACCGTGAGTCTTCTAGCTGAGCACTTTTCTGCCCACCGTTCCCCAGAAAAAAAAAAAAAAAAAAGAAAGTGATATAGTTAATACAGGAGAGAGGGGACAGAAAAAGTGTGTCAGAAAAAGTGCAATGTCGGATGGAAGATGAAACGCAATTATGCCAATTCCGGAGTGAGGAATCCTATTTCATCATTAGTTAAAATGATCCAAGGCGCCGAAATACTGTTATTAACTGAATTCATGCTGCAGGAATCTATAATTTCTCTGCGAAACCTGTTAATGTTCCCTCCCAAAAACCTCGTTTGCTCGCCGACTCGGAGCACAGCCACTGCACACGAGGTAGTGAACGACAATGGGGTGAAAGAGTTTGCCGAAGCTTTTGAAACTTCCAGTTGGTGCTCGCGGAGTCGGTGCATGGTTGATGCACCTGCTCGTTTGTCCTGTGTATTATTTTCAACATCCCAAAGAAAAATAATAAGCCTTCTGCTCTTCGCATGAGAAGAACTTGTTTGCAATACATGGGACAAAACGGCAGGTTAGGCAATAACTATCAATCTTTACACACTACAATCTCGAAAAAGCTTGCATAATTATTTTTTTCTAAAAATTCTGTACCCCATCTCGGCCAAGAGACACCAGGTCGTTCCCAATGTACGTGCGTACACAAAATAATCGAAGTTCTGACAAAAACTTGTCAAACTTCCAGCCGGAAGTTTAAAAAAAAATCGAACACGTAGATCACCACGAGTGGCAAATTAGCGTCACCCTTAAACTCGTGTTCTCCTCAAGAACGGTAGGGAATAGAGTCCGGTTCCACGCGCAGTACTATCAATTCCCCCCTTTACGCGGAGAGATAAGACATATGTAGGTGGATTGTAGATTAGAGAGATGTCATCTTCTGAACACATACACACTTCAAACGCCATAAGCATCGCTTCTTCCTCCGACAAGCACATATTGTACGACTTACTTCGCGCGGCCTATGAACATGGCGCAAAACTTTCTTTTTTCGTGAGGTGAAAACAAGTATAGTAGATGGTTAAAAACTGGACACGTTTTTGCTGTGCACAACGACAACAAAAAGTGTCCAATTTTCTATAAAAAAAAGTGCAAGCTTGTGGGGTCCCGTCAGCCCCCTTCTGGTCGACAACCGGACGCCGGCGCCTGGAGACTCGTTTTCGGTCCCTTCCGTGGCAAGGACGGCGCCTTTGAGGTTTGGTTCCCGAGCGCCTCCTCGCACGGGACCCATCTTGAAGACATTGGCGGTGTCGGCGGTGGACATCATAGGACCCCCCTCCCGGACAGCGTCGGCGCCCGAGGCCCTGCTCGTGCCGCGGCAGAGCCAGACCGCCCAAGATGGAAAAGAAGAGGCTCCGGTCGGTCTGGTACGCGGTGACGGCGGGAACGGCGGGGAGGGCTCGGACGACGGGGAATAGGAAGCGGACTCTTGCGCGGGAAACGGGCCACGACGGACGTTCGCGCTGGTGGCGACCGCGCCGCCGGCTCGGGCGACGGCCCGGTGACATGGTCCGGACTTAGACCCCGGATTTGACCCTCGACGGCGACGTCCACAGGATGCGGTGTGGACTAGCACCGCACGGACGATCAGCATGCAGCATACAGTGGCGGCGCACCCCCTCCAGGCCTCCTCGATCACTTCTCCCGATCCCGAAACCCCCAGCAGAATGTGAGTGGAATAAACCCCTTCTGCCGAGAGCTATGCGTTTGCTGTGTCACGTTCATCCGGAGCCAGGGGCCTGGGAAATCGGACGAGAACCCTACAAGCTTTGGCGCGCGTCCTCATTAAGTGAGAACATTACCCACGCAAACAGGACTGCTTTCCTCGCCTCCTGACTGTCGTCCCTATCCTTCCTTCTTTTCGGGAGGTTGGGGACTCACAACGGAGGCCGTGGTTACAACCAGCAATGTGGGTGAGTGGCTACGTCCCGCCCTAGTCATGAACACGCTACAAGGCTTTGTCTAAGGACGCTATACTCTAAACATTTTTACGCTTAACCGCAGGCTAACCACCAGTTTTACGCGTGAAAGAACGTCTCTGCGACTTGACTGACGCTTTAAGCACCACGTGATCAAGAATAAACGTGATTTTTCTTCGTACAAGCATGAAGGCAACCCCCCAAAAAAAATAATCGGCTTCTTTTTTTTCTTCTTTTTTTTTTGGGGGGGGGGGGGGGTAGGGGGGGGGAGGGCGTGATCAACAACGTACGGGTTAAATATGCGATAGCGCAAAAGGAAAAGAACATGAACCTACGCGCGCGAACCTCCCGCTTAGGTTCATGCGAGCACGAAAGCGCCTCTTTTCCTTATCACGCTTATATATATCTCAAATATTGCGCTCTCCCAAAACAGCGACGCCGCGTGCTTCTTTTATTTGTTTTGTTCTTGTGAAGTTTGTGGCGTCGTTCATTGCACAGAAGGCTCTGGCAGTTTTTTTAGTGGAAGAGCATTTCCATCGTCTCTTCAACGCTGGGCTTGAGAGACCCTTTTTCTGAGCTTTCAGGCAGTGCATGTAAGAATACTTTAAATTCTCGAAGTTCTGTACTGTGTTGACCCGCAAACCTGTCCTGCATTTTTACTTCAGCTGATTTGTGGTAGACTCTGGCGTGTCCGGTGCGAGGATAACGACTGCGATTCCCCAAAAATGTTACGCGTAACGGTACAATACAAGGCCAGCTTGGTAAACGGTTTCCTGTCTAGCGTCTACTGGATCCACTGTGCAGCCATTCCATCTAAATTAAAATATTTAAGAAAGAATATTGTTTTCGTTTGCGTTTTTATATACTGGCTATACCCCATATAAAGAGGCAAACCGGCTGTGAAACCTTATTCTAGGCATTTATCATTGCTGTATGTCTCTCAGACGATAGAAAATGTCTTCGTGGTTAGGTATTCAGAAGAAACAACGCTCACAAAAAGCAAATATTTCCTTTCCTATCACAAAGAAATATAGCCTCACGTCAAGCCCCCGTGTATTTGCAAAAACAACGGTCCTAGCAATGGCTTGGTTGGAGCACAGCGCCATGTTGCAGCGCCATCACCCACAAGGGTCAATTGGTGTAACGGTCTCCTGAGGTCAAGTCACGTGATATCAATTTTCCCGCTAAACTTAGCTCGGAAACTGAATTGATGTATAGGTACGTTACATCAGTTTTCCAGGTGAATTTAGCGAGTAGACTAAATAGGCATATAGGTCACGAGACCCCGTGTCACGTGACGTCAGTCACCCTGCCAAATGTAGCGGTTAAAACACGGACGGACTGGCAAAGATTTGGAATTGGGGGCTCCGTTGCAAAGCATTTCATGCTTTCATATTCCCACCAAAAATTTCACTCCTCATTCACCAGGTGGCGTCAGCGCTGATTCTTAAGTTTCTCGCATACACATAATTGTCGAACTTAAATCGAAAGTTTTGTCGAACTTTGCGAGAGAATTTCGGAAAACTCGACCTTGATCAAGCTCAACCCTCAAGCGAGTTCTCGACTTTATTGGCAACGTGCGCCATCAAAAGCGTCGCTGTGGTCACCCTGCTACGATCGGCCGAATGCTGACTATGACGTCAGCAATGGATTTCTCATCGACGCAAATAAGAGGAACGTAAGAACTTCAACTTTGACGGTGTTGGCAGTGTTGCTTTGAGAGCGATATGATTTCAGGCTTTCACCATGGTCATTACAAACACCATGGAACTTGTTGTTCAGAAGGTAATGACGTCACGAAAGGTAACCAAACGAGGGCGCCACCGAAACATCTCGCCGCTAATTGGCGACGTGCGCGACCGAAAGCGTCGCTGTGGTCGGCCTTCCACGATTGGCCCAAAAGGTGACTATGACGTCGGAAAGGGTATACCATCGACGGAAATAAGAATGAAAGAACTTTAATTTCGACGGTGTTGGCAGTGTTGCTTTGAGAGCGCAATGATTTCAGGCTTCCACCATGCTATTTACAAACTCCATCGAACTTGTTGTTCGCAAGGTAATGACGTCACAAGGGGGAACCATAGAATACCTAATCTCGCAATATCTTGCAGACTCGCTGGCGCCCGTGACCTTCTTGAGGAAAGCGAGAGGCTGCTACAGTGGCGCTCGGGTTTCGCGGC